GTATTGATTTCAGAGAGGAAGGGAGAGGGAGAGATATGGAAACATCCATGATGAGAGAGAATCATGGATCCGCTGCCTCCTGCACACCCCATACTGGGGATCAAGCCCACAACCTGGGCATGTGCCCTGACCAGGAATTGAACCGTGACCTCCTGGTTCATAGGTCGACGCTCAAACCACTGATACACACTGGCTGGGCAAGAAATCAGTAAGATCTGGGCAAGCCCAGGAGGTGGGGAAATAGCCAGAAAAGGACCCCAGAAGGGTCCTGCAGCTGTAGTTGAAAAGGACCAAGAAAAAGGAAGTCATCTAAACGTCTGCTAATAGGGGACTGATGAGATCAATAAGGAGCTCTAGAACCCGGGCGTACATCTGTCAACAAGACAGGGGAGCAGAGAGACACTGGGCCAGTGCAGGGGCTCCCAAAGCTTGTGTCACCCAGGAGAGCCTTCAGGATTTTTGGCCTATCACAGACCCTGCTGCCTGCACTGGTATTTTTATTTTTATTTTTAAAATATATTTTTATTGATTTCAGAGAGGAAGAAAGAGGGAGAGAGAAACATCCATGATGAGAGAGAATCATGGATTGGCTACCACCTGCATGCCCCACAGTGGGGACCGAGCCTGAAACCCGGGCATGTGCCCTGACCGGGAATCGAACCGTGACCTCCTGGTTCATAGGTCAACACTCAACCACTGAGCCATGCTGGCTGGGTGCCGCATTGTTATTTTTAAAAATATTTTTCTTTAAATCATCCTTAAGTTGACCCTCTTCCCTCTTCCCACGGCCTCTTCCTAGGCAGTGATATTTGTGAAATCTCAAATAGTAGTCATATTTTTTCAACTGTATAACTCTTAAAATAAATATATTCCCCTGAATCCGAATCCCATCTAAAATCCTGGCAAGTGCCTCAACATTCTCATATCTTACTTGGGGACTCTGTTAGAATGCAATCTACCGCATGGCAGTAAGAGCGTCTAACAAATCTATTCATCTGAAACAAGAACAAAAAAGGGGGCAGGGATGGGGTGGGGGTGTTGCCTTGTTCGAAGGGGGGCAGGGAGGGAGGGGGGGAGAGAGAGAGGACATGCTGTGTCTGTTCTCTCTCCAACCCTCTAATGCTCCCTCCTCCTCCTGCCTTGGCAGATCTTCCCTGGAGCTGAGGGATGGCCGCTGCCCAAGTACCTGGGCTCCTGCGGCCGATTCCTGGTCAGCACCAGCACCAGCCCGCTGCAGGAATTCTATGCTGCGCCCCCCGACCAGGCAGCCGACCTGGCCCATCAGCTCCTCAGGATCCTGGAGTCCCTGCGGAACAACGATCTGAACTACTTCCTCTACTTCACCCACGTGGATGCCTCCATGTTTGGCATCTTTAACAACGGGCATCTGTTCATCCGGGATGCCAGTGCCCTGGGCGTCATCGACAGGCAGGAAGGTACTCAGCAGGGGCCCGGCTGAGCAGCTGTCAGAGGGGAAGTCAGAGTGACAGGAGCTTGGAGGGGTGCCCGGGGGTGGTGCCATTGGGCCTTTCCATTCTCCGTATGTCACAGTGAGAGCACCCCAAGTTCATGTCAGATGTCCCTCTCCTCCTCTAGAATCCCTGCTCCAAGTCCAACTCCAGAGGGGAACTGGCCTTGACCTTGTCCAAGGGGGGGTGGGGGGGCACGTTTTGCATCATGGCACGGCCCCAGGGGCGATGCTGTGGCCCAATTCAGTGTGTGTGGTCGGGGACCCGCCCTGCCGTGCCCTTCCTCACACACACACCACCCTGGATCCATGTCCCTCTCAGTGCCTTGCTCATCAGATGCTTTCAGCCTTTATCTGAAAGGTAATGATCTGGCTGAGCCACTTGTACATGTTGCAATCCATTTTGGCACCTTTGCCTTTTAGAAAGTTTCCAAATAAAAAGCATGGCACCGCATGAGGTCTAGGAGTGACTCATGTTTTCCACGGTGCGCACAGGCTCATCGGCGTCCTGGAGGCCTTGGAGCCTCCCAGTCTCTAACGGTAACCGAGTGTTGTGAGCCCAATGATAGGACAGAGGACTTTTTATTTTAATTTCTTCATATATTTTTATTGATGTCAGAGAGGAAGGGAGAGGGAGAGAGAGAGAGAAACATCAATGATGAGAGAGAATCATGGATTGGCTGCCTCCTGCAACTCCCCACACTGGGGATCGAGCCCACAACCCTGGCCGGGAATCGAACTGTGGCCTCCTGGTTCATAGGCTGATGCTCAACCACTGAGCCACACGGGCCGGGCGACAGAGGACTTTTCATGAGAAAGCCTACAAAGACAGACCAATTAAACCACACTAACTCATTTCCTGGTTTGCTTTCATTAGAAGAAATGAGGCCGATTCCAGAATATTCGGGATATGTAAACCACGGAATGCCAGCCCCATTGAATACATATTCTGTTCTTTCTCCCGACTTTGTATTTCCTGATTTCCCTAATTTAATAGTAAGAATGGGAGAATCGCAAGATGGGGGTGAGCCTGATAGTTGTAAGCCCAACTGCTGGGAGGGATAAGTGTGTTTCCAGGCCCTGGCCTCGGCCAATTGTAGCAAAGAGAGCTCCTCCCATGTTGTTCTTAGCAGGGCCTTTGGGTCCCTGAACCCTAAATCTCCTGGTGACAGGAGATGCTGGGAGACTACACCACTTCGCCCAGCAATTCTAATCAGCGGCATCTCCCCCCAGGAGAACAGGTTGTAGGATGTGTAACAGTTCATGCTTCTCTTCTAGGCAGCCAAGCAGCCGCCAGGGCAGCAGAGAACAAAGACATCTTCAGCTGCCTGGTCACCGGCTGCCAGGCCGAGCTGCCCTCCTGTGACTCCATCCCCGAGAAGCAGAGCCTGGTGCTGGTGTGTCGGCAGGTCCTGCCTCAGCTGCTCCAGGGGAAGTTCCCCTCTCCGGTGCAGGAGCAGATCGACGTCCTCCTGGCCAAGTGTGGGGAGGGCGCCCGCCCAGACCCCGAAGTCCTGGAGGCCGCCAGCCAGCTGAAGAGCATCTTGAGACCCCTGAGAACCTGTGACCCCAGGTTCGCCTACCGCTACCCAGACTGCAGGTATAATGACAAGTTCTGAGGGGCTGGAGCCTGGCTGGCCTCCAGGGACCACATGCTCCGCTCTCCATTCCCAGGCACTGAGGAACATTCCAGCAACCGGAGGGCGGTTGTGCAGCACTGGCACTGGCCTCGTTGGCTGGAACATCACAAAAGAGCCAGGGTTGGGCATCAGAAGATCCAGGTGTGGCCCTTGCCAGTTTGGCTCAGTGGATAGAGCATCGGCCCGCGGACCAAAGGGTCCCAGGTTCAATTCCGGTCTAGGGCATGTACCTTGGTTGAAGGCTCCTCCCCAGCTCAGACCTGGTCAGGGCATATGCAGGAGGCAACCAGTCGATGTGTTTCTCTCACATCGATGTTTCTCTGTCTCTCCCTCTCTCTCCCACTCTCCCTAAGAATCAATGGGAATATCCTCTGGTGAGGATTAAAAAGAGAAAGATCCAGGTGTGGACACCCACTCAACCTCTGAACCTGTTTCCTCTGTGCTCCACAAGACTCTTGACTTAGCGGAAGAAGACAGATGTGAAGAGTCAGGGAAACATGCTCCCTCCCTCCCTCAGCCCAGCTGCTATAAAGCGTGTTCAGAAGCACACGGGCGGGAGAATGAGACAGACAGCGAGGTCCAGAGGCTGGTGTGGAGAGCGAGGCCCCTGGCCAGTAGCATGTTAGGTTACACTCAGGTAAAAGGGGCCCACTCCTGCTCCCCGTGGCCCTGAGCTAGCCCTGCTCCCG